AGTGGAGCACCGCGTTTTCGCCTATGAGTGACGAAGCCCACTTTCATCTAAACAACATGGTTAACCTGCAGAATTGTCGTTATTGGGCTAATGAAACTCCGCAACAGTTACACGAAAGACCGCTGCACAGCCCGAGCATCCATGGACGTTATTCGCCCTCTCTTCCCTGGTCGCCTTATTTCCAGGTGTGGCGATGTTCATTGGCCTCCTCGGTCCCCAGATTTACCCACATGCGATTTTTTCTTATGGGGACACCTCAAAGCTAGAGTATACGCGAACAAGCCCCGAACTCTGGACGAATTGAAGGGCGAAATTCGCGTGGAAGTCGCCCAAGTTGAGAGAGCGATGTTTGAGAGAGTCTAGGCGAACTTCCAAGAACGCCTCCAGCACTGCATCAACGATTTCGGCCACCACATGCCTGATGTGATTTTCCACACTTGACTGTCTCAAATGCTATTTCCTTGTGAACCTGATTCCATCTATAAATTTGTTTTCGAGTAAAAATTAACTATTTTATGATTTTTTTAAAACCGTCCATCCTCTCTGTCGCACCCTGTATAAATAAATGAAGCAAATAAATTAGTCGAGTCTGTTTTAACTGCGACGTTTTTTCAACCGCAATCTCTCCCTTTATTTCAATTATTTTTGCCTCTGGCTTTTATCCTTCCTTTATCATATCGGCATCAAAAATGCTGAAAGCGACAGGGTCTTTGATCCCTGCTAAATCGTGAACTTAAGTGCGGAAGGCAACTAGAAACTCGATTTGAAATTCCCAGAGGCACAGATTTACATGGAGAAAAAAAGAGTCACGCAACCAGCACGTACACATTAGGCACGGTTGAAATGGAATCCAGTTTGATGGCCGCTAGCATAGCAAATGGAATCCTAGATTGCCGGGGATACACGGTTCCTGGAATCGACATCCAAAAATTGCTTTTTGATGCAATATTCCCACTGGTCATTAGGTTCTGCTAAATCTTCCGGAAAATTGCAGTAAATCAGTTTTCCAATCACAAACTGCGTATGTGCGTTAGTTGCACTGGTGTATTTTCTGATTTAGGAAGCTTCTACCGGTTTGCAGGTTGCAGTTGGAAAAATTTTAAATTGGAACAGCCGCCTTGTGAAATTTGCGATGGACATTCGTAACTTCAGATTGGCCTATACTTCGTTTTTTTGTGTTGTGGCCTCTTACAACCGGGCTATATTTTTACACATACTTACAATTCCTGACCTATTTGCATATATTGCTCTCAGATTGCCGAATTATTGTAATCCTACTTAATGTGATGTGATGATAACGGACATTTTCAAAAACGTGCTGTGAGATATCAGGACAGCTTTCGATGATGCGTTGTCGAAGTTCATCAAAACTTTCAGGTTGGGGAGTGAACACAATAGAATAGCCCCATAGAAAGAAGTCTAATGGCGTCAAATCAAGAGATCTCGCAGGTCTTGCTGGAAATATATGTGTATTTCATCCATATCCTCTTCAATTTGGTTTTCAATTGTTTCAGTGATAAGTGGATTGATGGTATCTTCCAATATATCCAAATAAATATCTCCATTCAAATTTTCATTAATAAACAATAGCTCAATCACTTTGTTTCCTAAAATAATTGCCCATACATTAATTTTTTGGGAGTTCTGGGTATAACCTTCTACAAAAGCATGAGGATTTTAATTGCTCCAATACCTGCAGTTATTCTCATTAACAAATCCATTTAGATAAAATGTTCATTCATCACTGAAGCGGATATGCTTTACATATGGTATTATCATTAATCTGCTGCAGTCATTATTTCACAAAACCCAACTCGCCTATCGAAATTATTTTCGGTTAACTCTTGCAATATTTTCATTTGGAATAAATTAAATTTATGGACTTTTGTCACTGTATGTACAGAGCCTAATGAAATACCAGTCTAAGCAACAATTTTGCCTAATGAAGTGTTAGGATTTATTCCAAAATGACCCGAAACTTCAACTTGAGCGGCTTCATCCAAAACTCTCCGATGATCGCGTTTTTCATTTGCAACAAACACTTTGGGCACCATAAATTAAAATCATTTCCACTCTTTCGGCTAATATGCAAACCATTTTAGAAGTAAAATCTGAATCAATAAATTAATTATCACTATCAAAAGACTGTCACAAAGGTAACTGACAGCAGATTAAATATACTAAGTGACATATAAATCCGAACACCCAGTTTAAATGGTTTTATTTTAATAAAAGTTGGTGAATGTATTTATCTTACTGTAAATAACAAGTGAACAAATTTTCAGCCTTATCAGTTGGACATTCCGGTTTTTATACTGCTTCACTAACGCTCTAAAAATGAATATTTCAGCCGCAGTAAAGAATCAACGTTGGCGGATTTTGGTTCTTGACATCCTTTACGATCGGTTACGATGCCTAGAGTACGGAGACCTGTACGATTTCGTCAACTTAGTGAGTTTGATAGGGGCCGTATAGTGGGACTTCGGGAAGCTGGACTTTCTTTTCGGGCAATTGCAGTTAGAGTGCAAAGAAGTGTAGACACTGTGGTTAGGTGTTGTCAGGCTTAGCTTCGAGAAGGCCGTACGCAAAGAGCAAGGGGCACTGGATGCCGCCGTAGAACAACAGACCGTGAAGATCGCCGCCTAAGATTATTGGCCTTAAGGGACCGTTTCTCCACTACCAGGTCCATTGCAAATGAATGGTTTCCAGAACACGGAAGACCTATTGGCATGCGAAGTGTTTACCGACGAATGAGAAGTTTTGGCTTGTTTTCATACCGGCGACACTGGGTCCTCCCTTTAACTCGAGAACACCGACGTAATCGCCTTGAGTGGTGCAGACAACGGTCACTCTGGGATCAGGAATGGAACAGTATTGTCTTTAGTGACGAGTCTCGATTTTGTTTAGGCATGCACGATGATCGTGCCAGGGTTAGAAGGCGACGTGGTGAAAGGAGGAATCCACAGTTTTTTGTTGAAAGACATGTTCATCACACTGTTGGAGTTATGGTTTGGGGTGCTATAGCTTATGGTTCCAGGTCACCTTTAATCTTCATCAGAGGTAACATGAACGCGCAGCATTATATCCACGAGGTTCTAGAACCCCATCTTTTACCCTATCTTGACACCCTGGCAGATCCAACTTTCCAACAAGATAATGCCCGACCACATGTTGCAAGAGTCACAATAGACTTCTTTCAACATAATGATGTCACATTGTTACCATGGCCACCAAGATCTCCCGACTTATCCCCAATTGATCACGTGTGGTATATGATGGGTAGGACATTGCTCAATTTGCAACGTCCTCCTCAGACTCTAGAAGCACTTCGAGAGGAGTTGGTGGTTGCCTGGAATGAGATACCACAGGAGGACATTGACCACCTGATCAGAAGCATGCCTAGGCGCGTTGGAGAATGCGTAGCACATCAGGGTGCATCCACACATTATTAAAGGTCAAAGGGCTTTAAAGCAGTGCAATCATTTTGAAATTTTTATCATTTACTTATTATGCTTCATTAAGTACTTATACAAAATTTTATTAAAATAAAACCATTTAAACTGAGTGTTCGGATTTATATGTCACTTAGTATAACACCAATCTAAGAGCATTCCGCTCATAGATCGCAATGTTCCTGTTTTAGCCTCTTATAGTCCAGGAGCCGAGCACAAATTTTTGGTTATACATCGCACTTTATCATACCATATATCAGAACGCGATGTAACCAAAAGTATCAGTCAGCTCCTATACCTATAAGTACTTATACAAAATTTTATTAAAATAAAACCATTTAAACTGGGTGTTCGGATTTATATGTCACTTAGTATACTTTCTTTTCCCTAGCATCTAATAACTAAACAGGTGTAACAATAAATACAGTTTGCCCAGGATATCTGTGTTGATGAAAACAGCGGAAAAAAATTCGGGTTGTTATTTGGTTGTTGCGACGTCTAATCTTCCGAATTTCTGTTTATGTTGGTAGTTTCCGTTTTAAATTATAACCGAATTGTAGCTTTGGCAAACCTTAACATTCTGAACACTGTGATATAAAAGTGATATTTTCGCGTGTTTCTGTTTTCTATCTGAACAAGTTGAGATAAATAAAGTTTTTCCTAATTTTCTTGAAAACGAATCGACTGATTTTAAAAAACCAAACGTCAAAGTAAAAAACTTTGAAAGACCTTTCATACAAGCTATTACTCTATATTCCTAGTCATTTAAAATTCTTAAGAGAGTCACCATGGGGGCCGAGGGTGAAAGGGGGTGTAGCAGTTTTTGGTTAAAAGGTCGTCTCCCTTGACAAATCATTTGACGAGTCGGCGTTTTTCCTTTTAATCACTGGTTTTCGATTAATCCGTGGTGAGAAGTTTTGGAATATATATATATATGTTAATGTGTGAATACTTGGTATTGGTATGGTTTGACCGTTTTGGTAGTGCGACACCTATCTGTGAATTGCGCAGAACGTCGAGCAGTTTCGAGTCATCAGCATAGGACTCCTATGGGATGAGGATGAAGATCAACTTGGCAAACTATTGGTAGGTGGAGATCGACAGATTTTTCGCACAGTATTTCAATTTTATCAAACGATCATACCCACCTCTCTCCGTTCATGTGTGTTCAGGACTACTAAACCTGTACCGCACTGATCAGCAGCTTATGAGCACGAAACAGCGTTGTTCGAGGCTGGTCATGGTTACACACACTGAAGCAAACATATCCATTCCAGTTGCTTCCATATGTGGATATATGCATATAAAACCATTGTTGTCTGCCCTGTGAATGCTTGGTATTGGTATGGTTGGACTTTTTGGTAGTGCGACACCGATCTGTGAATTGTGGAGAACACCAAGTAGTTATGAGCCGGTAGCGTAGGTGTTCTTATTTTTTATCGCGTGGGATGAGGTTAAGGATCAACTTCCCTTACCTCCGCACAGGACTAAGTATATAAAGAAATTTAAAATGAGTTGTCGGGATTTCTCAAAAATGTCAAAAATACATTTTACTATATAAAGTTTGAAATCTTTATTTGGAAAGTATATCTTATACATCTCTTCCACCTAACTTAAATGAAACATTTTCCTTGTCTCAGCTCCCAGTAGCACCATTTTTCTCCGCCGATCTCAACATTGCTCCTTTCTCATCCGCAGTACCTTCCTCTTTGTTTTTTCTCATATCCTTCATTTCTTTCTCAGCACTATTCTGTTCTCCTTCCGGAGAGTTCCATGACTTCAGTTTTGAGTTAGATATGGTGCAGTACAGTATACCGCTGACGAAGAGGAAGAGTGTGGCTATCCAGAAGACTTTTTGCCATTGGACCACGGTTTGCTATAAGAGAAAAACCTGATAGAAGACGTTCTGAACAGCAAAAAAACACTCTTAGGGGAAAATTGAAATTCATTTTCTGAGAACGATGGCACATAGTATAGGAAAATGTCATTATTCAAATGTTATATTATTGTGCAACTTAAGTATCCGTTCATCGTGTACAATGCATGATGAGCTAATAGCTAAATGGACTACATGTGCATGGTTCACGCAGTTCACAAGCGTTCAAGGCCACGGTTTGCAATATGAACAACTTTAAACCGTGATTTTTCAGATCAGTTGAAATCACTTTTTAATAAATCTGTCATACAAACAACAACAAATCGACGAACCCATTGATTAAAGAAACCGCTTTGATTGTTCGCTCTTCAGGAGAGATATTGGAGCCATATACAGGCAAATAACCAAATCAGCTTAATAAGCATGGGCATTCAACTGGGTATTCCAGGTACAGAAGCGTTCAATCTTCGGTCCGAAATTACTAAGTCGGGCAATGGTCCAGCGCGCAATTTGTATCTAACGTTTGGCACTGAGTATAATCATGTCATATTCTCTGCGAGATTATGCAGAAATGCATGGTGCTGTCCTAGGAATGCTCAAGCAGCTGCTCGCATGTATCGGGAGTATGTGGTTAGAAGAGGTGGACCACAACCGCCGGTTTTTCTACGTGCCCATAATGCGTATATGGAGGGCCGCATAGTAGGAACTCGTCGTCAACTAGGAGCGTCGAGGATACCCCCAGAAGAAACAGAAGATATAATACAGGGTGCGGCAGAGAGGACGGACGTTTTTGGGATGGGTAGTACTCTCCGCCTCCGTCTACGAGAGAGGTCGGGAGGGTGCCGTTTGACTCGTGAGATCCTAGCATTGTATTACCAGTTGTCGTAATGGAGCCTTGGATGGTGGAGCACCGCGTTTTCGCCAATGATTGTCCGAAATAATGAGTCAGTCATCGTCGTACAGCGTGAGTTTCGTCGCCACTTCAACATTCATGGGAATAGAGCTGTTCCCTCTCGAAACACGATCCTTCGTTGGGTTGAATCACTTCGCAGGCGTGGTGAACTGATCAACAGAAGACCAAGAGGAGCGCCGCGAACAGTTCGAACTCCTAAAAATCTTGAACGCGTTCGACAGGTCTTTCTTCGCAGTCCGACTCGATCTGCCCGGAAACATGCTGCTGCACTTCGCCGTAGTGATCGTTCGGTAAGGCGAATTTTACAGTTACAGCCCGGAGATTATGCGCAACGAATGAACTTCGCACGTGAGATGGAAGCACTGGTCGATCAAAATGAGAACCTCATTTTGTTTATGAGTAGAGAGAGGCTAGAGTATACGCGAACTATCCCCGAACTCTGGACGAATTGAAGGGCGAAATTCGCGTGGAAGTCGCCCAAGTTGAGTCTACGCGAACTTCCAAGAACGCCTCCAGCACTGCATCAACGATTTCGGCCACCACATGCCTGATGTGATTTTCCACACTTGACTGTCTCAAATGCTATTTCCTTGTGAACCTGATTCCATCAATAAATTTGTTTTCGAGTAAAAGTTAACTGTTTTATGATTTTTTTAAAACCGTCCATCCTCTCTGCCGCACCCTGTATATTATTATATATTTTTCATTGGCGGTTGGTAACCTTACATTGGTATGCTTCCTTACAGAAACATCAAAACTCTAAACAACTACAAACTTTCTCTACGCTGACGAAATACACATGCAATGACAACACTGCTGCCATGGGGTTATAAAGATTAATATTTAATCATGTTTGTTGTCTTATAGAGCCATTATTTACAAAGTCAACAGAGTTCACCCTTCAAAGCTACCAATAATTCAAAATTTTCACCAAGTTCACGCAGTGTCCTAATTACAATGAGCCCATGGAAGTAATCCCCCTATCCTCGGTTACAGACGGCTTAGTATTTAGGTACTTCTATAGATTTATGTAACATTTCCTCCCAGAATATACAAAATTCGGCATTCAAAGACTTCAAACAATTGCAAACTTTCTCTACGCTAAAACTCTGTATCATCACTGATGCATATACAATGACAAGAAGTTTACAGCAAAAGCCTTTTACAGGGAAGCAGTGACGCGGGTACTTTTAGATAAACTTTGACGCGGTAAATAAAAGTAAATCCACCTGCGCCACACAGAAACTAGAACAATTAATGGAATCCTTAATCAACGGAAGTGCGGTGCAGCTGTTCTTGCGTCGCTGTGTCGTACAGAATCATGGAAGTTTCAAGTTGCTAGCTAGAGTTCACTGTGGAACTTCCTCTGTGGTTCTCTTTATGATCATACACGCAAGAAGGTGCATCATTTTTTTTTTCATTTTAGTTTCAATAATATTCGAGTCACATTTCATTATAAACAGTTAACGATTGTTTTATTTATGTAGGAGATGCTCAATTCAGTCAAATGATCTGCGTATTCAGTGATCCGCCACTTTTCTGTACAAAAAAAATAAACGCTCTGGAAACAGAGTTGGACTCCTACTTCTATTACATAAATGTACTCACATTTTGGTATGTCAAATATCCTACTACCATGGGAGTTAAAAATCCTACAGATGCAACGATAGTATTTATGATTCCCAAAATAACACCTGTAACAATAAGAAAGTATTTAAGGTAATACATGAGTTTGATTATGATTTATACAATCTTTTGTATGTTCACGTTATTATACATGTAATATACAGGGAGTAAACGTCATGGTAGGGGAGGGGGGTCAAAATAAATCAAAAAGTTCATATGACCCATGGTCCAAAAGTCAATAGATTTTTGTCTAAATGGGTTTATAGTTTAGAAATTTAAGTGCCTTATATCGACCACAACAACCACAATCTTACTAATTTTAATAATCTAATCTAAAACGTTTTTAAATTGGGTAACTAACAAATAAATGGCATAAATTTTTTCTAAGTTAAGCTAAAATTTGTATTCAGTAAGTAAATAAGTTTCATTAAATTGAATATTTAAGACACACATGACAACCCTTATCGAACCGGCAATGGATCGCAAACGGTAACAGTGGTTGATACGTTGTTTTGATTTTGTTCGCGTACGTCGTCGTCTTGATTTACGATGTTCTCGAATCAAGAGTTCGCCGTCATGTTGTTAGTTTACGGTGAAGCTCGTCAGAATTCAAATCTTGCAGCTCAAAATTATCGCGACAGATTTCGCCAACGGGTACACCCAGACAGAAGGACATTTGTGCAAGTGTACCACAGACTTCGAGATACAGGAAGTGTTCAGCCCACTAATATTCGCACTCGTAAAAGACAGGTTACTGTAGAGCAGGAGGAACAAATTTTAAATATGGTGGAAATAAATGCAGATATCACCACTCGGGAATTAGGCCGCCGCGTAGGACTATCGCATACGGGAAAATTTTCTTCATCCCTACCATGTACAACGAGTGCAGGCCTTGTTACCAGAAGAGTATCCTCGCAGACTAACATTCTGACAATAGTCTTTGCACAAAGACATTGAAAATCCGGATTTTTTTAAAAACATTCTAGCGACGGACGAATGTACTTTTACGCGAGACTGGATATTAAATTTCCATAATACTCACACGTGGGCCCAAGAAAATCCTAATACCATTCGTGAAGGTCATTTTCAACAACGTTTTAAATATTTAGGCGGGTATTCTTGACGATCAGGTAATTGGCCCTTTCGAGTTACCCCAAAAGTTGTCAGGAGAATGATACCTTAGCTTTCTAGCCAATAACCTACCAGAACTTTTGGAACAGACCTTAGATAACATGCCATTACAACGGAGACAGAATTTATGGTTTCTTCATGACGGGGCACCACCACACATTTTTAGAGGCGTCATTCAGTATTTGAATGAACATTATTTAAATCTGTGGATCGGTCGAAATACCCCTGATCCTCGAAAATAGCCAACAAGGTCTCCTGACCTCAATTCGATGGATTTCCGGTATTGGGGAGAACTTAAAGGGATGGTTTATGGGGCTGGTCCAATAACAACTGAAGCACAACTTCGCGAAAAAATTCTTAATGCGGCTGAAATAATAAATGGACAAGTTCGAGGACCTAGAGTAAGAAGAAACTGGGTTCGTCGTAATGAAGCTTGTGTGGAAAGTGGAGGACAACATTTTGAACACCTTCTTAAATACAAAAAAAGCAGTGTGGGTTTTAAAAAGAAAAACAATGTATGTATCAAAATTGTGTTCCCTATTTATAAGTGGATTTTTTCAATACATTCAATAAACTTTCACACATCAGGTGAAACGCTGAGACAGTTAGTGATAAGTCCGTTTTTTTAATTGTTTACATTTTACAAGTACATTATCAAATAATGAAATAATACCTAAGAGCCAAGAATAACAAACTCCATCTTTATTTACACTGCGTTCCGTCGTAACTTGCGCCTGGCATTGCGGCGTTGTCAGATTTTATTTTACTTTAGAGTCGCTTCTCTCTAAAAAAATGCCGTTTTGACCCCCATGTCACCCATTTAAATAATGACTATCATAACTTTTACACCCTGTATATATACATCAGCTACGATGATATTTGAAATTTCTTCAGTTTTGCAGAAGCCTATGAAAAACCACACATTGGCGTGCTCCCATTTTATTTTATAAAAGAAGCTCCATCTATTGCACCAGAATGGAACCATTGTAGATCGCGCACCGCTGCTATCAGTCGGAAGTTTCATGGATCTCAGTTTCCGTTTAATAGTCGTGCCGCTAGATGGCTGATGATTCTGGCTGAATACAGAAGTGGTCTGCTGGCCATTGAACAGGTTAAAACAAATGTTTAAAGGACTGGCGGCATGATACCCGAACAACATTAAAATGCTACTGCAGAATTGGAATGAATCATCTGACGGATTTTTAAAACCTTCAGCAAAAAACCTGATAAATTCGCAGTTTCTGTTGTATTCGTGGTTTTGGATACCTGCCTGAATTAGAAATAAGGTGATCATAACCAGGGCAAACTTCATCCCATTTTCATATTAGAATATAATACGTCCTTTATTCACGAAACTCCATATTCTAGTTATTGTAAGCGGTAACCTTATCTAGGTCTTGCCTACCTAGCGGCAAGGCTCGGCGTGTCTACCGTATCTCGGCCTGCGATTTGCATAATTATATTTTGATGGTCAATATCTGGAATTCTATTGATCTTGGCGCTCGTTTAGACAAAAACCTCGCATTGGTGGGAGTCCGATACAATCATAATGGGAATACAATTCTTGTTTGTATTGTGATCGCTGCGCCACAACACTTTCAGTTTATGTTATATGCTATATGTAGATCTGAAATAAGAATCGTTACGATAATGCGCTTATATAAAAAAGTAGGCTGAATAATCGAAAGTGGATGAATTTTTTCAAAGTTGCATTTATCAAGCATTTTAAGAATAAGAATAAAAAAAAACTTGAGAGTTTCATAAAATGGACAACGTTATGGTAGTCATTATTGAAATCGGTAATAGGGGCGGTCAAAACAAGTCAAAAAGTTCATATGACCCATGGTCCAAAAGTCAATAGATATTTATCTAAATGGCTTTATAGTTTACAACTTTAAGTGCTTTATATCGACCACAATCTTACTTATTTTCATAATCTAATATAAAACGTTTTTAAATTGGGTAATTAACAAATAAATGCGATTAAGTTTTTCTAAGCTAAAGAAAAATTTGTAGTCAGTAAGTAAGTAAGTTTCATTAAATTCAATATTTAAAACACACATGACAACAGCGCGTCGGTCATCATCACTCTTATCGAACCGGCAATCGATCGCAAACGGTAACAGTGGTTAGTTATCGGGCATCGGGCATCCAAAATTCGCCGAAATGTTGGTTTAAAGTGAAGCTCGTCAGAATTCAAATCTTGCAGCTCAAATTTATCGCGAATGATTTCGCCAACGGGTACACCCAGACAGAAGGACATTTGTGCAAGTGTACCAAAGACTTCGAGGTACAGGAAGTGTTCAGCCCACTAATATTCGCACTCCTGAAAGACAGGATACTGTAGAGCAGGAGGAACAAATTTTAAATATCGCGGAAATCGATGCAGATATCACCACTCGGGAATTGAGCCGCCGCGTAGGACTATCGCATACCATAGTCCATGGACTCCTACGAGAACATTTGCTGTATCCCTACCATGTACAATGAGTGCAGGCCTTGTTACCAGAAGACTATCCTCGGTGACTAACATTCTGTCAGTGGTTTTTGCACAAAAATATTGAAAATCCGAATTTTTTTAAATACATTATAGCGACGGACGAATGTACTTTTACGCGAGACGGGATATTAAATTTCCATTATACTCACACGTGGGCTCAAGAAACTCCTCATACCATTCGTGAAGGTCATTTCCAACAACGTTTTAAAATAAATATTTGGGCGAGTATTCTTAACGATCAGGTGATTGGCACTTCCGAGTTACCCCCAAAGTTGTCAGGAGAAGCCAATAACCTACCAGAACTTTTCGAACAGGCCTTACACCACATGCCATTACAACGGAGACAGAATTTGTGGTTTCTTCATGACGGGGCACCACCACACATTTTTAGAGGCGTCATTCAGTATTTGAATGAACATTATCCAAATCGCTGGATCGGTCGAAATGCTCCTGATTCTCGAAAATGGCCAGCAAGATCTCCTGACCTCAATCCGATGGATTTCTGGGATTGGGGAGAACTTAAAGGGATGGTTTATGGGGCTGGTCCAATAACAACTGAAGCACAACTTCGCGAAAAATTTTTTCATGCGGCTGAAGTAATAAATGGACAACTTCGAGGACCTAGAGTAAGAAGAAACTGGGTTCGTCGTAATGAAGCTTGTGTGAAAAGTGGAGGACGACATTTTGAACACCTTCTTTAAATACAAAAAAAGTGCAGTGTGGGTTTTAAATTTTAAAAAGAAAAACAATGTATGTAAAAAAATTGTATTCCCTATTTATAAGTGGATTTTTTTAGGTTAAGTCCGTTTTTTTTAATTGTTTGCATTTTACGAGTACATTATCAAATAATGAAATAATACCTAAGAGTCAAAAATAATAAACAAAAAAGTCCGCAGATTTTCTTGAGCCCAGTAATTAGTGTCATTAGTGACCATACTCTCGTCGGACCACATCATTTTTAAGGGAAATTAAAATTGGGCAAGTTGCTTAGCTGAGTTCTCAGCAACTGTTTGTACAACACTATTCTGAGTTTCCTTTGAAGATCCTTTTTTCGAGACTTATCAAGCTTCATGAATGAAATTTCAATTTGGAGCCAACTCTAAGAAAATGGACTTGCTTGGCTGCCTCCTTTCGGGAAATTCAACAGGATGCAGTATTTTTAGTATTTTTGTAGTATAAAATGTAGCACGTCAGCATTCGAACTTTTCTTCATTGCTGAAATGAGCGTCTGGCATCTCTGTCGATAATAAAGCAATATTAACAATACACAATAATAACAATGCTCGGTGACAGATATTTACGTCAAGTCAAGCATTTGTTTGCAACGCCTTCTTAAAAAAATCAGAAAAAACGCATTTTTCTTTATAACTTTAAAGAGAAAGTCAGAAAAAATAAATTATTAGGCCAAACTTTAGTTTTTCCCAAACATCACAGTAA